CAGGAAGAGGTAAGAGACCGACTTCTACAGTGTGGTATTGCTAAAGAGCAGTTGACTGTCAGGAGATTTGTACAAAGCAGAGACAGAATGAAAGATTTGCTTTGCGAAGCTGACCTTGCTATCATGCCGTCGAAATCAGAGGGATTTGGCCTTGTTGCAGCTGAAGCTTTGTCTGCAGGTCTACCCATTCTTGTTAGTAAAAGATCAGGATTTGCCAAAGCAATAGATGTTGTTCCTTATGGTTATTTGTGTGTGGTGGATTCTTATGATCCTGCCGAATGGGCGAAAGCGATTGACGCAGTTCGTTCCAGACATGCAATGCGGCTGAAAGAGATCCTAGCTGTTAAAGCATCCTATGGAGAGATGTACAGTTGGAAGGAGCAATGTGAAGCCCTTGTGGAGAGAATGTGGCAAATGGTGCAGGGTATGATTTGTACTAAATATTGTTGTTTTCAGAGTGCAAACAATGTACTTTCTTAGGCTTGCCTTTTAGGCAAATTAACTATAGACTGAAATGTCCTAGCTAAAGAACATTTTCACTAGCATCAATGGATGATAAATAGTCAATTACATCTCCACAGAATTGTGTACGGTTTGTAAAATTACGATGGAGAAGATTCATTTGAATTTAGCCGGGCGAGTGATGAATAATCCTGACTGAGGTTGGGGCGGGCCAGAGAATTTCACAAGAGAGGACGACGGGCTTAAAGTAGGGGAGGGGAGGGAGAAGAACGGCCTTACGCATGCAAGCAAGCAGCTGTTCGTTTGGCAATCCCGTGCACATGAACGCGGAGCTGTGACTGGTGTGGTTGTTATCCGCCCACCAAGGCCACATTCTTGTTTGCGGTCTTGCACAAAACTTGACGACAAACGTCTGCCAGCACAATATCCAAAGGCGCCTTTCCGTGGGCTTCTAAACGTCACATAGAAATATCTTTTACGAAACATGCAGCTCTCACCAAGACGTAATTCCGAATAATTTTAAACGCACATCCCTACCAATATTTTTCAAGACTTGTCAAATACACGTGCCAGTGTTGTTGTGCGAGGAAATATATTTTCTTTTTTTTTTTCATTTTCAGATAAGCAATCAAGTACAAATTATTCAGGGTGTTTTTTTTTCGTAGGCTTCGTCGGCAGGCCTTTCATGTCCCTTTCTCTTCTCCTCCCCACCGGCCATCCCCGCCTCTCCTTCCCCGGTTTTCACTTGCTTTCAAAATAGCGCCCGAAGCTATCCGAATTTTAAACGAGGGCCCGTATAAATGAATGCTCACACCATAGAAGTTCATCCTCAGACTCAAAAGTAACGCATGGTTCAATTTTACGTGTTACCACTACCCCCCCCCCCCCTCCGGGCAATCCCCGGGACAAGCACTACTCTAGCTCTTCGAGCCCGGTGGTGGGGAATTTTTGGAAGCGGTTCTTTCCCGGGGGTATAGGGGAGCTGGAAAAATCCATTTTCTTAAAAATTCGTTCTTCAGATGACATGATGACACCGAACCACGTGGAGAAGACCCCTGAGACTTTTTACTCTCAGGCAGACTGGTTAGGAAAGAATAACCTCCCAAAATTATAATGTGTATTCGAACGTACGTTTGTTACAAATTGTCAAGCAAATGTACTCGAAGCGTACTCGAATGCATCGTTATTAACTATTTCTGTTTGTTCACTGGTCGTTAACTTCTTTCTCTCAAGGGAGTGCTGTTGGAGGCGATATAATAATAATAATAATAATAATAATAATAATAACTTTATTTGTATAGCGGTATATACAAAAGCTCTATATCGCTTTACAATCAAAAAAAGAAAATAACTAACTAACAATAGCACAAAAACAAAAAGTCAGTTGAAAGCGAGTCTAAAAAGATAAGTTTTCAATCTAGATTTAAAAACATCAACTGATCCACTTAATTTAATGTCTAAGGGAATATCATTCCAGTGCTTTGGGGCAGCGACTGAAAAGGCCCTGTCCCCATAGCTCTTCAGGCGCACATTCGGTACTTCTAATAAATGTTTGCTAGCTGACCTAAGATTTCTTGTAGGGTTATATGGGACTATAAGTTGACTTAAATACGGAGGCGCCAGATTATTGAGAGCTTTAAAAGTTAACAGTAATACTTTAAAGGTAATTCGCTGCTCCACGGGTAACCAGTGTAGCTCCTTAAGGACGGGGCGAATGTGCGCAGCCCTAGGTTGCCCAGCTACAAGGCGTGCAGCGCATTTTTGAACGCGCTGGAGCTTCTGAATAATATACTCCGGTGACCCGAGGAGCAACGAGTTACAATTGTCCAGTCGACAAGTAACATAAGCATGGACGAGGGTCTTTGTGCTCTCAGAAGTCAGATACATTCTAATCTTCGCGATATTCCGAAGATGAAATAAAGCAGATTTACAAACGGAACTCACATGTTTATCCAGTGACAAGGTCTCATCAAAAACAACTCCTATGTTCCTAGCTTTGTCAGACCGCTCTACACGATGATCACCAACCAGGATACTATCTAAAGATGGGCGTGGCCGATATTTTGAACTGATAACGAGCAGTTCCGTCTTGTCCCTATTCAACTTAAGTTTGTTACAAGACATCCAACGGTCGATATCTCTAACACAAGATTCAACCTGAGAGACAGAATAAGCTTGATCATCCCCTCTGAGAGAATTGAAAGACAGATACAACTGAGTATCATCAGCATAGAAATTATAGCCCATGTTGTATTGTCTGACAATATCCCCCAATGGGGAGGTATAGAGCAGATATAAAATCGGTCCAAGCAAGGAGCCCTGTGGTACTCCTCACGACAGCGAACGCGTGACAGACCGCCCACCACGAATGCTCACAAAATGAGTTCTGTCGCTCAGGTATGATTTAAACCATGCCAGAGCTAGATCGCAAAGACCGAAGCGGTTTGCTAATCTCTCAGTCAGTATAGTGTGATCAACCGTATCGAAAGCGACCGATAGATCTAATAAAAGTAAGATAACAGTCCTATTCCTATCAACGTCTAGGATAATATCATTAAAAACTTTGACTAAAGCTGTTTCAGTACTATGAAATTGTTTATATTGGGATTGTAGTATTTCATCAAGTCCATTTCTAGAAATGTGATTAATCGACTGAGATGCCACCACCTTCTCAGTGAGTTTAGACATGAACATCAAATTTGAAATAGGACGAAAATTCGAAAAAACTTCAACATCAAGTGTGGGCTTTTTGAGAAGAGGATTCAACAATGCAAGCTTAAAACAGTCTGGAAAAACAGCTAGATATAAAGACTGAATTAAGATTTGAGTCATAACAGGCAAAAGAACTGATGTGCACTGCTTCAAAACAGACGCAGGGACGGGATCAGGAGGACAGGACTGGATGGTCATCTTACTAAGTAATTCCGAGACATCAGACAATGTTACAGACTTGAAACATGACAAGGCACACTGATGGACAATGGCATCGGACTCCACAACAATATCAGATGTGGAGTCAAGTGAGTTTCGCAGAACTGTAATCTTCTCACCAAAGAAGTCAATGTCTATGAACTTGTTAGCAAGATCACCATCAGACGCACACCCTGAAGGATACTCCGCGGGCACGCGCTTATGTAGGAGCTTATTTACTGTATTGAAAAGAGTTCGGGGATTATTACTACTCTCCCGTATAATGCCTGAGTAATAGTCAACTTTTGTTTTCTTGATCAAAGCGTTCACTCTACGGCATTGTTCCTTAAATCTAGAATAATCCGATTCTCGTTTTGAAGAACGTCAGCGCCGCTCGAGAGCTCTGCGTTTTTTCTTTTCAGATCGTATTTGCTCAGTGTACCATGGGGCGGTTGGGCGAAGAGTAATGGTCTTAGTCTTCAGAGGCGCGTGTCTGTCTAACAACGACTTTAATGTAGTGTTATACTCATAAACAAGTTCACCGAGACTAAAAGAAGCAGCATCCCTTACTAGCCTGGTGTTCTCCAACTGACCACAAAACTCGCTAAAATCAATATCACGAATTTTGCAATATGAAATTCGTTTACGCTCGAGTGGTAATTTAGCAAGGTCCAACAAACTGTGTACAGCAAGATGATCCGAGACAAAAGGATTGTCCAAAGTACAGCGGCCAACTAATTTCTCATGAACTCTCGTTATAATCAAATCGAGTCAGCTGTGGAGTATGTGACCTTTCTTATGAGTCGCTTCAGAGACATGCTGGATCAAATCAAACGATTCCAGGACTTGTAAGAATCGTCGAGCATCGCAATCATTAGGCTCGTCAATATGAAAATTAAAGTCGCCAGCGACTAACAGGGCACTAGTAGTCGAAACAAGTCCCTCCAGAAAAGAACTAAACTCCTCCAAAAACATTCTGACCGTGAATCCATTCCCAGGACTAGGTGGACCTCGGTAAATAACGACAAGCCTAAGATTATGATTGTAAACTGATGTAATATGAATATTAATGAGTTCAAAACTCCTGTGGATCATTTGTACACCCCTCTTGATCTTAAAACATCTCCTGTAAACTAGAGCAACTCCACCACCGTCAGTATAATTCCTCGGTAACTGCTCAATGTTATGCCCTTCAGGACAAATGTCACTACAGTAGAATTCGTCCAAAGAATCATCAGTGAGCCACGTCTCAGTGATGGCGAATAAATCGATATCATGTAGATACTTTGTTCATGTAGATACTTTGTTCAGTAAACTCTGGAAAAGCGTTAATTTCTTGTTCAAACGCCTCTTTTTCCTACTGTACGTAAATCATCATTGTTATTTTTTATGATGCACCCAAAACAAAGTAGTTGTGGTTCATGACAAGCCCGGTCCTGCCTGTGCCCCGGGTTGGCGAATAGACTGCCAGTTGGGAAAAAAACTAAATTTAAAATCATGCCCGGGGGGGATGCCCGGGAGAATGGTAACATGTGGAATTGAACCATGCATGAGTACTATCATTACTAAATAAGTAGTACCTTGTGAAAATACTGAGGAAAAGGTTTCAATTGAATGGTGACAGGCAATCTCAAAAACTCTCTTACTGGGGTCATTACTTGTCCTAACTCTGTGAATGAAAAGGTTAACACGGAGGGTATGTTCTTTAATGCAGGAAATGAAAGCATGAACATGCGCCAAAAATCCGATGCCCCTGATGAAAAGCATGAGGAGGCTTGTAGAACTTCAGAGCAACGACATCCATTTGAGAAGAGAGAGAAAACTTTAGGAACAAATGAAGCTGAATCTTCACCGAAGAAGGAACCTCTTGAAAACTGGTGGCCAAGTCTTTCAGAATCTACTTCTGACCCAGGTATGGAATATATCAACTTCGCCTGCTTATATACTTGTTAGTCATTCATGCGAATGTTCCCTGTTTCCATTTGCTGCTCTGATTTTACTTATGTTAAATTCTCTATATCTGGTTCGACTTTATGCATTCATGGGCACCCGCTAAATGTGTAAAAAAATATCGAGGAAACGTTCCCTCAGCTGGAGAATGACTAGGCAAGTACTTTTTTGCCATATTGATTTTTTAACTTACACGTAATAGAGTCTATTCATTTGTTTCCTTTGTTGTCCCATCCGTTAGATAACGTGTTCTTTCCTGCAGATTTTATCCCTTGTCTTGTTAGAAATATAATGTGCCTGTCGGCGAGCATGGATATGAGAATGCTCCCTTGAGTACCGTATTTATTCCATTAAACGCCGCCCTCGATTACACGCCGCAGATGGAAGCAAAATTATCAATGAACACGGTCCTCGAATAAACGCCGCACCCAATCAGAAGAATGCGGCGTCTATTCGAGGATAAGAGAAAAAAATCAGTACAACTTGGTAATGTACACCATCTGGACAATTACGATTCTATATCAGCAATATAAGATACAGCTAGATATTGGAACCTTTAAAGAACATAATATTTAATAACCATTTACAGTAACTGTTGTCAGTGATTTAAGAAAAGTTATTTTGAAACAAACGCCCCATCGGAAACGCGGAAATTTTATAAAACGCTGCGATGTTTAATCGAATAAATACGGTAACTGTATCATCAGATGATCTATATTAGGGCAACAAGTCATGTAGCAGCTGCTCGGAAGAGAAGTCACCAATGGTGCCTATAACCCTGTCCCCAAATAATACTGAAACAATTGAAAGAATGACATGCATGTCATTGTTTCTTGCGACCAATCAGTGGAGACCTTACGAGCAGCTCCTACACTATCCAAACAAAGCAAAGAAGTGACTATAGGTCTAGCATCGGCTCGCCCACATTACGTCTGGACAAGCATGGCCTCCTAGGCAGGCGTTTTTAGGGGAGCTCGTCTTTCATCCCTCCCCACAAACGCCGTTTGTGGGGAAGGATGAAAGACGAGCTCCCCTAAAAACGCTTGCGTGGGAAGGCTAGGACAAGCACTACTCTTAAGTAGCTCTTCAGGCCCGATGGTGGGGAATTTTTAGAAGCGGTCAGCTTTCCCGGGGGTATAGGGGAGCTAAACAAATTTCCAAAAAAAAAAATAATAATAATCAACTTTCGTAAAGTTCATCATTCTTCGGATGACATGATGGCACCGGACCGCGTGGAGAAGACCCCCGAGACTTTTTACTCTCAGGCAGACTGGATAGGAAAGGATAACTTCCCAAAATTATAATGTGTATCCGAAGGTACGTTTGTTACAAACTGTCAAGCAAATGTACTCGAAGCCGTGCTCGAATGTATCGTTATGATCTATTTCTGTTTGTTCACCGGTCGTTAATTCCTTTCTCTCAAGGAAGTGCAGTGGGAGGCGATATTATACATGTACATGTAGATACTTTGTTCAATAAACTCTGGAAAAGCGTTAAAGTTCTTGTTCATTAACGCCTCTTTTTCCTATTGTACGTAAATCATCATTGTTATTTTTATGATGCACCCAAAACAAGGTAGTTGTGGTTGATGACAAGCCCGGTCCTGCCTGTGCCCGGGGTTGGTGAATAGACTGCCAGTTGGGAAAAGAAAACTAAACTTCAAATCATCCCTGGGGGCATGCCCGGGAGAATGGTAACAGTTGGTATTGAATCATGCATGAGTACTATCATTACTAAATAAGTAGTACCTTGTGAAAATACTGAGGAAAAGGTTTCAATTGAATGGTGACAGACAATCTCAAAAACTATTACTGGGGTCATTACTTGTCCTAACTCTGTGAATGAAAGGGTTAACACGGAGGGTATGTTCTTTAATGCAGGAAATGAAAACATGAACATGCGCCAAAAATGCGATACCCCTGCTGAAAAGCTTGAGGAGGCTTGTAGAACTTCAGAGCAACGACATCCATTTGAGAAGAGAGAGAAAACTTTAGGAACAAATGAAGCTGAATCGTCACCGAAGAAGGAACCTCTCGAAAACTGGTGGCCAAGTCTTTCAGGATCTACTCCTGACCCAGGTATGGAATATATCAACCTCGCCTGCTTATATACCTATTAGGTATTCATGCGAATGTTCCCTGTTTCTATTTGCTGCCGTGATTTCATTTATGTTAAATTCTCTATATCTGGTTCGCTTTTATGCATTCACGGGCACCCGCTAAATGTGGAAAAAATATCGAGGAAACGTTCCCTTAGAAGGAGAATGACCAGACAAGTACTTTCTTTCATATTAATTATTCAACGTACACGTAATAGAGTCTATTCATTTCCTTCCTTGTCCCATCGTAGATAACGTGTTCTTTGCTGCAGATTTTATCCCTTGTCTTGTTACAAATAAAATGTGCCTGTCGGCGAGCATGGATATGTCCATTTAAAATGAGAATCTCCCTTGAGTACCGTATTTATTCGATTAAACGCCGCCCTCGATTACACGCCGCAGATGGAAGCAAAATTACCATTGAACGCCGCCCTCGAATAAACGTCGCACCCAATCAGAAGAATGCGGCGTCTATTCGAGGATGAGCGAAAAAAATCGGTACAACTTGGTAATCTACACCATCCGGACAATTACGATTCTATATCAGCAAAATAAGATACAGCTAGATATTGGAACCTTTAAAGAACATGATATTTAAAAACGATTTACAGTAAATGTTGTCAGTGATTTAAGAAAAAATATTTTGAAACAAACGCCGTATGGGAAACGCTGAAAATTTTATAAACGCGGTGTATAATCGAGTAACTACGGTAAGTGTGCCATCAGATGATCTTCGAAATCGACGAAATCGAAATTTCGGGTGAATTGTGCACTTTTTGATCCAAGCACGAAATCTGGCACACTGATAGTAGTCACCAATACAAGCATTTCAGATATAGTGCCTAACCGGAATTGCTGGTTTCAATGAAAACCGCAACTAATTAAAATTCAGGAATGTTTAATGAATTCATTTTTCCTTGTTTATCAAGACATATTAACATTTCAGTCAGTGATACCAATCTGTTTACCACGTACGTCTTGTTTATCACACGCCATCAAACCGTAACTATGCGTTTCCATGGCAATGGTAGGCAACGGAAAGCTAAAAACTACAACTGAAACGGCTTCATAAAATTAATGTGCCTTTAGTTGGTTTGATTTTTATATGTAAAAGAACTATCATCTTTTCTCATAGCTTCGTTGTCTATTTGATTTCACGTTTTCGTTACGAAATAAACTTAAGGTGATTCTCTAGTTCTGCAATGCACACCTCTCACTGCGCATAACAAGATGGCCGCCGTGAAATAGAGCTTGTGCGGAAGCATTATTAAAATGACGTCGATCGAAGAGAAACGTTAATGGATTTTCCATAGCGGTTTTCTTTTCGGTAGAGTCAAGTAAGAGCAGGTTGGCTGAAGGTGAAGCTAAAAACGGAGATGCAATTTCTCCCGGAATTAGTACAAACAAAAGATGGTAAATTATCTAGAGACGGAAAGCCAGATCAAAGTGAGAGTGTCAACGGAGTTGAAGCACAATTGGGGGGGGGTAGGGCTGGCTGTATCAAGAAAACTGACCCGTACAAGGGAACTGGTGCCAACAACCAGTGGGAAATGAAATGTGTTTACAAGAGACATTTAATTCCTATTTAATGTAGAGTTGCTTGTTGACAAGTTAATGAAATGCTGAACTCTTTCCACACTCTCACAATTTTTTGTGGATAAAATTGAATCTGTAGCACATTACATTTTTCACCTGGCATTACAGCCTTTTTGAAATAATTCAGTTTTAACCAAATTGATTGTTCTTTTACCACCAAAGAGAAAAGATAGGTAAGTGTTCTTAATGCTAAATAAGAAAGATGTTTCACCGATAGTTTTCTTTTCTGTAGAGTCAAGTAAAGGCAGCTTGGCTGAAGGTGAATCTAAAAACGGAGATGCACTTTCTCCCGTAATTAGTACAAATGATGGTAAATCATCTAGAGACGGAAAGCCAGATCAAAGTGAGAGTGCCAACGGAGTTGAAGCAAAATTGGGAGGGAGTGGAGCTGGCTCTATCAAGAAAACTGACCCATATGAGGGAACTGGTGCCATCCCAAAGAGACCTAAGCAGGGCAACAGCCGCAAGCCAGAGACTTCTATCAGTAAGGACCCCTGGGCTGAAGAAACTGGTGAAACTGAAATATTACTAGTTCAAGGTGAGCCTAAAAACAACGTTGATTTGTATTGTAAACACATGTAAAAACCAACATGAATCATTGCTTGGGTTTGGTCTTAGGGAACGACGGATTATAAGAAAGAAGTTACTATTTCACTGACAGTCTTTACTGTAGAGTCTGCTGGGTCGACGATTTTCTGGAGATTAATTTTTCATATGTTACTACCCAGGTTACACTATTTTTCTTACAAAAAGCCGGGGAGATTTTTACCAGGCCTACCAGGAAACCCTAAACCTAAGATTTTCGGATTCTAAAATGTGCTGGAGAGAGGAATCAGAAATATTCTCCCTTTCGTAAAACGGTAAATTGCACCTAAAATTTTCGGAAAAATATTACTAAGCCCTTGTAGCGTCGAAAAGACTTAAAATCCCCTAGGATGTCTATTGACCGAACAGATAAAAATTTTGTAGCGCTGCTTAGAATGC